CTTCTCATTTTTATTTTTCTCTTTTCCAGTGAGACTGAACATAATTCCAAACCATTTTTAAGTATTTCTTCTGCCAAAATCATTCAGATCAACTTTCCATGCAAATGGAAAAAAAAAAAAAAAAAAGCCTCCAATCCTTGGAAATAAGAGAACAACTGTCATCAACACTCTGTTCTTGATACTCAGATTCACTCTATTTTCTTTAACCCTAAAAATTTCAGTCATCAGTGGCAGAAATTAGAACAGGTCTGAGAACCAAGATCCAAACTGTTTCTTGCTTACTCTGCTTTCCCCCTCAAGGCTCTTTGGAGGGGCAGAGAATTCTCCTGTGTCTAACTTTAGTAAGTACCTCTTATAAATTAAAAATGAGATCTAAGGCCAAGCATGGTGGTGCATGCCTTGAGAGGCTGAGGCAGGAGGGTCACCATGACTTCCAGAGCCCCTTAGTTCAAGGTCAGCCTGAACTATGCAGTGAGATCCTGCCTCATAACCACCCCCAAGAATCTAAAAATAAATCAATTGAAAGTCAAGTATTCATAATTTAAAATAAAAAGGCAAGGGCCGGCCAAATAGCTCAGCAGATTAGCGTGCCTGCAAGCAGGCACAGGAACCAGGGGTTCGATTCCTGGGCCTGCCATGCTGGCCCCACCCCCAGGGTAAGCTGAGACTGGGCAATTGAGACTGGGCATGGTGGCACGCACCTGTAATCCCAGCTCTTAGGAGGCTGTAAACAGGTGGATCACTATGAGTCCTATCTAGTAGTGAGACCCTGAACACCCTGTACACCTTTACCTAAAAGTACAAAATAAAATAAAATAAAATGGCAAAATTAATATTAATGGTATATATTTATCTCTCAAATTAATAAGACAATTAATTCGGGGTATACAAGCAAAATGGTTATTTATGAACTGCATATGATAAAATAAATTCTATAAACGTCTACAGCCATCTGGTAACAACTAATACAAGCCTTAATAATTCACATACCCTTTGAAAAAGAAACTTCATTTCTGGGAATTTATCCTAAAGAAATAACTGAGCAGTCATGCAATGATATATGGGAAGCATGTTAAGAATGTATTATTTACACAGCAAGCTATCTCCATGGCAACAGCATGAAATTAAACACAATCTGTACAAA